ATTCCTGCTCAGTTGTACGTGTAAGCATACAGGTTACATAAAAGCAATACTGTAGCACTTGTTATTTCAGAATTTAGTTTAAAAAAATCTCTTGTTCTTAAAGCTCTTCATTATGTGAAGTAATTGTCTCTCTTATTACTGCTGGTTTTAACTCCTGCACATTAATGCCACTGGCTGAAGAGCTATACTTAGTGCATGAACTCCCGTTTTCTTCTTGCCTTATTCACTCACTGTTCTCCATGAGTTGTCTGAAAAACGTTCTATGTGAATGTCCTCTTTGCCATCCCTCAAATCTGTATTATGTAACTGCTTTTTTTTGAAGATAGTTGGTATGAAAGACTGTAGAAAATGCTTCACTTGTCAGCCTTTACATAATTTTATTTGGTGTCTGCTCCATGATGACTAGTGGAATACTTACATAAAAGTTGTATTTTCCAATAAGATACAGATTTTTAGGATTACGTTCATGTTTCTTCTTTTCAGGACAGAAATAGCGGGGAATTTAGTCTCTTTTGTGTGCATCTGCATGCTCAGATATGAAAAAAAGTGGCTTTCTTTTTTCTGTATTAAACTTTCAGCTCTTGCACATAATTGTCTGTTTCCATTATTACACTAGCATTATTTTGCATTATTTCATAGTACCCCAAAAGCCTTAAGCAGTTTATCCATGTGTAAGATGAGGTAACTGTTTCAGATTAATTCATATCTATAGCTGTCAGGTTTTTCCATGTTAAAAATGTGGATATTTCTTAGTAAGGTCATAGATTTCAAACAGTAAAAATGTATTCTGGTAATGAACGCTTAATTCCTTTGAAAAAGAATTATTTGCTAAAAGCCGTAGTGATTGAATCACTAGCCAAATAGAAATTTTTGTGTTCTCTCAGAGGATGGAAAAAGACATTTAACTTACACTTGTACATCACAGTAAAGTATCTGTGACATTAAAGCTGCTTGAGCTCCAGGCAAAAGACAGGCAACAGCAGTTGCCTTTGAGTAGATAAGGTTGGTTTTATGTAGAGCACTGTCTCTAATGACAGAGCACTTGTGGACAGCATAATTATGATTGACCCATTAAAGTGTTAGACCATTTAAAAAGATATAAGCTAGAAGTATTAAAAGTACTAGCATGTTGAGGGGTTAAGCACAAGTTAAATGACATACAGGTCTGTATTTTGGACAGTACAAGTTGTACTGTGTACACAAGCTTTATTTGCACAATAGATATTGGTTTGATGTGAGGTATTTCATTTGAAGTAGTTTAAACATACTAAAATCCTGTTTGAGCTTTTTATTTTAAAAGCTCAAATGTGGTATGTTGCATATTACTTAATTGTATATGAGTTACTGATATATTTACAGCAGTCAATTCTTAAATGGAGGGTTGAACTCCTTTAATTAAATAAAGAAAGCTCAGTAAAACTAAAGTTTTAAACGAATCAGCTGCAACAGAAACCTTTGTTTGTATTTTTCGTTGTTATCACTACAGTAGCTCCTGAGATGATTTATATGCTGTTGATTATAATGAAAGAGTTTGAACATGCTTTTGCCATTGACCTTGGCATCTTGAATGTCGCTGGATACTTGGCTGGGGAAAAGCTCTCATAGGTCAGTGTCATGTTGTTTCAGAACAGACCTTTGGACCTTCTCTTAATATGCTGTGTGTTCTTCTTGGACCATGTTAACTGTACGGTACAGAACAGATTAAACAGCGTTGAACCTCAGAGCACTTTCAGTCCTTCAAGCTAAGTTCTCTGATTTAGCTTACAGATGAGTTGTTAGATACTTAACTATCATTTTCTGATATTTAGATAGGCTTTCATATTTAAAAGGAATGCCAATTCTAGGGAATGGTACAAGTCAACTTACTGCTAGCATAATTTTTGCTGATTTCATTATAAACTTATTCTTATGTACAGTGCCCTTATAACTAAGGTGTTCTCCTGAACCTGTCCTAATGTTTTAAAGTCAATATAAAGTTAGACTCTACATATTCTGGTTCAGTGCCTAAATCCCCCTGCTTAAAATACATTATCTTCCAGTCTTCAAAATGTCAGCAGCTTTTATATTGACTTACCTAGTAAAGAGGACTTCTTTTGCCATTCTTCATCTAATAGTACCAAGATGATTTTTTCTGACGGTTAGATGTCCTTCAGTTTCTTAGCGATCACTTCCATGTAGCTGTTCTGAATAAAATTTACATTTGTATGAAGTAATGAATGCCTTATCTCCAAAGGTAATTGGGCCAGCTACAACCTGACTTGGCTTGATCCTGTTGTCCTTGAATCTTAGAGATAAGTACAGCCACTAAGCCAGACTGGAGTTGGTTTACAGGCATGGCATCATACTTAACTTCTATTTTAAGAGCTAAGGTATGAAAGATCACCTTTTTTTTTTTTCTGCTTCCAATTCACTTGGACTGTAGCAGCCTTTTAAAATTGTGTCTTTTCCTTCATGTATACTCTTTTGTCTTAAAGGAATTCGTTAGCACTAAAGTTGTAAGTTGATGCATATATACATTCTTTCCAGAATTCAGCTGGAAATATCTACCCCCCTTGCCCCAATCAACTCCTGATGCACACGAGGTGGTGGTCACTGTCCTGCAGCTCAACCAGGGATTGGAATGTGTGGAGGCTCCTTAGCCTGCTTCTATATAAAATTAGCAGAGTAGTTCAGACAATCTTCACTGATGATCAAGGCAAGCATGCCAATGTTGTAGTGAATCAGGTGAGCAATCATATTTGTTTTCACTGGTGAGTTTGTTACTCTGCAGTGAGAATAACAAAGATGGGGGAACAGTACTATCTTCAATTTGCACAGGTGTTTTACAAGGTAAGCATGTGTTTGTGGCTGAAGAGATGTCCTGGAGTTGTTTCCCACCTCCCCCAGCCCAACTAATCCCCTGTAACTTTGAGAGGAAAAAAAAGAATTCTGTCCTGCAAGACTGCTGGGGAAACTTGGACGTAATAAGGTTGGTGAGGCCTTAATGTTGTGTATGTTCTTCCCCTTCTGAGAAAAATAAATAAATATAAATTGTGAGAAAAATAGAAATACTTCTCCTGACCATTTATGTAGTCCTTTTTAGAAGAGTTGCTCCTATTTTTAATTCTCAGAATTGGACTGAATGACTTTAACTGAAGGTCATATTAACCAAGTATAGACTTGTGTGTCTATAGACTTGTGTGCATATGTGGTTGCCTAGGCTGATTTTTTTTTACTACGGTTCCACATCAAAAGTTTTTGAGGAGAATAAATTTAAGGTAGCTGCAGCAAGTGATGGGCTGTGATCTAAGTTGTCTTGATATTAAAGTAGAAACACTTGGTATGTTCACCAATACAGAGTCTATTTTCACTGTGCAGTGTTGGCAGAGATGTTGGGGTTGTTTAGTAATATTCTCTTTTACTACAATACAGGTTGTAGCAAAATCTTGGTAGCTTGACTAGCTTGTATGAATAGGTGACTAAAATAGATTCATTGTGAGTCTTAAAAACATTGTTTGGGGTTTAGTGGTACCACTGAGTCTGTAAGCAGTGCTTCAGGACACTTGTTTTAATACCGCTTTGACTGCTGGTTGTACAATTTTATAAACTGTTTTGTTAAGCAGTTTTGGCCATGATGGAACACTTCATTTTTTTTTAAGTGGTTGAAGGAAAGAGTATGAAAAGTGGCAGCTATTTTGTGCCCTACAACCACCTCTGCTTTCATAATGTATCTTTTTACAGAGATAAAGTCCATAAAGTGAGAAAGAGGAAGAAGATAAATACAAGCTTCCTTTCT